GTGACAGCAAATTATTTGTGCAGGAGTCACAAAATTTATTGTTTTTACTCCAAGTTTTAGCCATCTACTAGTTTCTGTGTTCCAACAATCACAGACCAGACAGCTGGTTTGATATTACTCATTTTTCTGCCCAGATGAGTCTTTTTTTTAATTCCCTCTGCTTGTTGTATCCTCTGACATTTTAAGATTTGGTTTCCTTAAACCTCATCTGGTTCAGGCATTGCTCTTTACCTCAGCAAGCTTTTAAATCATCTGGTTTCTCCAACAAACTTCATTTGCATGGCCAAAGTGACGTTCTCGTGCCAGGCAATTTTCAAAGACTTCAGTGTGTTGGAATGAGGCCCCAGTTTTGCCCAAGCCAGCACAGAGAGACCTTTGTGCTGGCTGTCCAATGGCCCAGTCAGCCTTCAGAGCAGGGGAAGATTAGGAGACAGGGAGAGCCAGTGGACTAAATGGTAGGGTGCCTGATTGAAAGCCAATGGTGTCAGGCAAACAGCCCCTTATCCCATTCAAGGACGCAGTAATTACAAGCTTGTAGGGCAATCCGTTGGATCTTTTGTTGCGGCTTTGCTAATGCTTGCGCTGTGTGCTGGGAAACCTCATTGAGTTTTGAAGACCAATGATGAAGACTCTTTTCAGTGCAGCATGTTGTCCTTTATTTAAAGGACAAGTAACCAAACTAGTTCTGCAAACAAGGCGTCCCATCGTGGGACCGTGGTTTTAAAAACCTACAACTTAAGCTTCGCTTTGATGATTAAATAAATTTGTAGAGGGTGTCCATATTTCTGAATCATAATGTGACTCATCTGTCTAGCTGTGTAACTTCTGTCTTTTATCACTCCTTTTAATATGTGTGTATGTTGCACTATAAAATCCTGGACGGCCCACAAAGTAACACACATAGACATAGAGACATACCTCTCATACAGTAATTCTTGTCTCATCTCTTCAACCAGATGTGCCATAACTTCACCAGCCCTACATTTGCTGACTACAGTCTCGATTGAGAGGTCAAAGTACCAATTACAGGTATTAAAAAAGCATTCAGTCAGCAGGTTTAAGCTGTCTGGACATGTTCTACCAGCCTATGAAAAGACATTTTTTAAACCGATATGTTGACAGCATGGGTCGAAGTCAAGATTGTGGGTTGCAGATCTTAAGGTTTTATCTATCTTTAAATTTTTTGGTTGCATTCAGTCTGTTTTACAAAACGATACACAATCTGCACTTCCTTGTGATTGAAATATTCATGGTTCTTTCCCTAGCAGTTCTACATGTATCCTTGGGCAAAACACTGAACCCCAATTTGTTCCTGCTCATTTTTATGTGGATGTGCAGAAAAAAGCACTGCGTATTGTGTGCAAAACTATAAAAAAGGGCTGTCTGTTTGTCACTGAGTGGGAGAGAAACACATTATAAAGTGATTTGTTGGACCGAAACAGGGTTAAAAGATGCTAAATAAATGTGGATGTTTTACCATTTAATCTGACAGGACTGTAAAGCCAGCCTGCCCACTCGGCAGCCAGCAGATTAAAGACCTGATTTCTAGGACATGTATGTGTGTCTGTGTGTGAGCATGTCTAATGTGTCGGTTCAGTTCGTCAATCTTTCCCTGTGATTGATTGATTGATTGATTGATTGATTGATTGATTGATTGATTGATTTAACAGGAAAAGATTACTAAAAATCAAGCCTGACTCAGCATAATTGCTGTTTTACAGCAGGTTCCTGTTCTGCAGCACATAAAACACTCAGAAATACAGCATCACAATCACATCATTATACACCATAGACACAAAGACAAACAAGCATACCATACTGTGGACAGCGAGGCTCGGCACTTCAGGAATGGACCTGCTATTTAATTTAAATTCCCTGACTATTATCTCACATAGATGGTGTGTGTTTGGAAGACATTAATATTATTTTAAATCATTAAGATTTTTGTTATCTGCTCCAGACAGTTAATTTAATGCTAGGCCACAAAGAGTGAGCTCCAATCCATTTCTTGTGTGACATATGGTTCTTTTTCTTTTGGCTGCTCCCTTCTGCAGGGGACGCTACAGGGAGTGAACTCATGAATGATCTGACAATTGTTTTATTCCGGATCCCTTTCTTGATGCAACCTGGGCTTAAACTTGTATCCTCAGGATTATAAGATTGCAGCAATTACCACTATTGCAGCCCTACATATGGAAGATTCTATAGTTAATATTTGTAAGCCTATTTTTGTTTTTATATGATTGATTATCTATAAAGTTGTTTTTGCTCCATTCTCTTTTCTGCTGGTCTGTATTTTGCTTTTTCTGTTTACTTTAACATTACTGAATAAGTACATACAAGAAGTGACTGGTATCATCAACAATAGCAATAAAAATCAATTATGGCCTAATCTGATGGTGTTGATATTTTGTCTTTGTTGCAAAAAAAAAAAGACATACTGCAGTTTTTACTATGTATTTTTTGCATCACATTCTATGCTCTCTATCAGATGCTCCTTTTATTAAATGTCTAGCTGTGAGAGTCTGTCTCATGTGCCATTTACTGCATGTGTGCACAGAATACTAAAGAGAATGTCTGGACCTGTTTCTCTGACATTGGGTAAAACAAATTATATGTTGAAAGTTAGAGCAGGGGGATCGTGGTGGCTCCTAAAAATATAAACAAGTATACAGTATCATTATTATTTTGTAACATAATAGGCACATTTCTAAGTTTCATGATGTTTATTCACAATAGAACTAATAGCAGAATAAAACCAATAAGCAATGACATTGAAATGTTATTTATTTCGATATTAGTTAACAGTTAGTAAATTTTTTATGATTGTGGTAGGTATGACCATAAAGCTGTTGCATGCTAGGTGCTTATCTGGAAATAACAGACCCTGTTTTATTGTGTTATCCAAAGGTTTACTTTGTTATTAGGGTTAGGGCTGCAAGATATTAGGAAAACCTGCAATGTGCAATAACAGTGCTTTATTTTGCGATGACTATATGACTTGCAATAAATGAACAAATACATAAGTATGTAGTAGTGATGTCCGATATCGGCCTATCGGTCTGATATTAGCATAAAAATGTAAAATCTCTATATATCTGTATTGCTTTTTTTCGTCTGATTACAAAATCCAGATAAATTAATGCCTGGATTTGACCAAAATGTGTTAATAAATGCTTGTGGTCCAGAGACGTTCACCTGTGTGTGATTGATGACATCAAACTGGATTATCTCAGGGAGAGCATGATCCAAACTATTGTTTGAGACAAAATGTTAAAAATAAATATGGCACTTTCCCCCTAACTTCAGTTCATTTGTTTTTATTTTTGTACAGACAATGTGTACCTATGGAATGCATCCAGTGGGGTATTAAAAAGCAGGCATAATGTCCCTGACAGGAGATATGTGATGTCACCTTAATATCGGAATCGGAAATTAAATGTTGAACAATATCGGCAAATAGAATTTTGGCAAAAAGTCAATATTGAGCATCTCTAGTATGTAGTGCTGATATATTTCTGCTCTGGGTTCAAAGCCAAAAAAACAACCTTAAAAACATTAATCATTTCCATTCCAGCCTGTTTTTAAATATGAAGAGATCCATCCAACTGACCAAATACATGAAGGGCTCCATTCAATTGGTGAAATACTTTAAGCTTCCATCTGAGTGACAAATGCAAACTTTTGAGTCAACCATTTATTGCAGTTTATGCAGTTCTTGTGATATGCATATTGCACAAGCTATTATTGCGATGACAATCAATTTTTGATATATTGTGCAGCCCTAATTGGGGTGTACATAGATCTTCCTCAACATTTTGTGATATATTACTTTTGAGGAGCCTACAATTATTGGTTGTGATTTCAAAATGAATACATTGCTATTTTGATGCAAACAACTGCTTGTTTTGGCCTTTGTTGACTGAAATTTAATGGGTTTACTGTCTTATTGTCAGCCAGTATTCTATTTTGACTCACTGTGGATACTTTGCCAGAAGTATATCTGAAAACTGAATCATCTGCATTGCAGAGCCTTGAGCTTTTTACCCTTGCACTCATGTAAGTGTAGGAATACTTGAGACTTGACTTGCAAATTGATGTTGATAGATCAAACAAACTGTGCTATCTTGGGAGGATTTGACCCATCTCTCAAATGTCTGTACCACAGAGGCAATGCTGCATGGTGCTCTGCATCCTTCTCTGTCTTTAAATAGATAGACATCCATTTTATTACTTCTGTAATAAAAGCTGAATCTCTATTGGACAAATGTGTTTTGAACATTCAGTTAGTCCTGATGTTTTTGTTGCAGTGTGAAGGTGGCTGTGCTGCTGGCGGTCACTAAGAACTCATGGCTGGTGGCTAATGTGATCACATACACAACCTGGCAGGGCCAAGTGAGAGAAGAGGCTTAAATCTGTTTATCACTGCCAAATTGACATTTTTCAAGCACAGAATCATCAGCCATTTTCAGATTACTTTTAAAGGCTTATTTGCTTTTTGATGTGCAGGTTGGCATGTTTGATCTTTTAAAAAATGCCATTTAGCATTAGAAACCTAAAAGATCAGAGCACTGAACTGGTGTGTTTCGTTAGACATTTGTAAGTTAAAAGATGAAGTTCTTTTGAAAGATTCAAAAGATTTTCCCATTAAATTTCAAATTCTGTACTTCCATCCAATGCTCTTGCTGACCTAAGGTTTAAATGGGTTGTTTTTTTTTTTAGAAAAGACATATAAAAACTTTCTGTTGTTAAGGATTGACACTTTGATCTATTATTTTAAATTACATTATATGTAACCATAAATTTACACACTAGATGTAGTTTTGATTTGGAGGAACTTGAAAGTCTTAGAAATTAACTGCAAAGTTATTTTCCTCTCAGGGATTAAATTTCACTCTGGTTTTTCTTGTTTCCAGCCCTATTCATTCCAGGGAAGGCTTTGTGATCCGCTACACAAATGCACTTCTCATGGTTAATTATTACTCTTGAGAGTACTGCTGCTAACAAGTTTCTAATTTCTTTTCAGGATTCTGTGTTTGGAGTGGGAAAYAATGTCACGTGGCAGTGTTGGTGCATTTAACGAAGCAGTATGCAAGCTTGAGTGTTGAAAGGCTCTTCTGCATCTTCACTTATTGATCCCGACAATCAAACTGCTCATGAGGTCAGGGAGCAACAACCAGTCCCAAAAGCAACCATGTCCATCTGCTGAGTGCCTTTAGCCTTTGGCACTGGTGTTATGACCAGCCTGAAGCGCCCACCAATGGAGTGCTCTGTCGGTGGTACAATCCCTGCCACTAATGAGTTTTACACTGACCACCTTCGAACAGTTAACGGAGGGGCTTTGCCAACCCGCACAGACAACTTTCATGGTGGTGTGAGCACAGGAGTACCTAAAATGGGTGTTCGGGCTCGGGTGGCTGACTGGCCCCCTAGAAAAGAAATGCCAGGTGCTCTGTGGCATTCACCTGCTGAGGTCAAAACTGGTGTACCCCCTTCTAATAAAAGTCACATTAAGTTAGGTTCTGTTTTGAGCCCTCAGGACTCATCAATGCTTCGTAACATCCACAATAGTCTAAAGCATCGAACCCACGTCCAAGCTAACAATTACTGCCCTGACACCCGGTACCTGTCCCCAGGAGACTACAGAGGTCCTGCACATAAAAACCCACGGCAGAGACGCATTCGTCAGCGCAGCAATAGTGACATGACTATCAGTGAGATGGAAGGCAGTGGAGACAGTGGAGAAGACTGGGGTCCATCTGCAGCACCTAAGTGTTCCCCTCTTCATCGTGAATATGGCAGCACTTCCTCAATAGATCAGCATGGAATATCTGAAGATGGCTTCTTTGAAATGCTAAAGGGTTATCAAGGAGACAAAGTTGACCAACGAAGCCCTGCTCCTGAGAAACTGGAGGACATACTAAATGTTGGGATTAATCAGGGCATAATGGAGCTACAGGAAGATGTCATAGATGGTCATCTTCTTAAACCTAGGGACAAGGACAAGCCTCCAAAGAGACGTACCAAATCTGAAACAGGGGGTGAGTCTATATTCCGAAAACTTAGGAATGTACGAGGTGAGCTGGACTCCCCTAGAACTGGGTCCGATGTAGAAGACAGTCGGGCAGAGGATATATGCCCCCCTTCAAAACCATGGGTTTGTCAAAAAGGTTTCGCACACTTTGATGTTCAGAGCATTCTTTTTGATCTCAACAAAATTATTCAGCTGCGACAGACTGCAGGCAAAAGGAAAAACACCACGACCGGGGCGTCGGCCGCCGCTGTAGCTTCAGCTACCTCCACTCTGTCATCCACCCACAGTCTGCCGTACAGCTCCCCCAGTGGCAGCCAAGAGGAGCTCAGTTCAAGAGACAGCCCAGGCTTGGATGCAGGAGATGAACAGAGCAACGAAATGCTTCTAAGTTGTCCCTGTTTCCGTAATGAGATTGGTGCTGATGGGATTGTGAGACGCAGGCTGGGAGCAGGCGGTGCAGGGTATCATGGACTTGTGGGTGGAGGAGCAGGGAGCAGTGGCTCGGGGACCATGTCTGGGGAAGTTAACTTGTATGAAACATCTTTAAGCACGCACTGCACCAATGCTGGAGTAGCTGTTCTCGAGGGACCGAAGGAGGGACCTAGCACACTCAGCGAAAAGGGCAAACAATACATTGTGGAGCACGTGGACCTGGGAGCCAACTACTATAGAAAGTTCTTCTACCTTAGAGGTGAGATTCGTTTAAGTATTATAAATAGCTGCAAAAAAATGCTTTTTTGTTTAAAGAAGTAATGTTCAGTGTAATGTAACATTCTTTTTTGTGGTACTTTCTTTAACGCAGAGCACTGGAACTACTTTGGAGTAGATGAAGCACTGGGTCCAGCTGCAGTGAGCCTGCGCAGAGAGAAGCTGGAGGACGATAAGGAGCACGGCTCACAGTATAACTACCGCCTCATCTTCAGAACCAGTGAGGTCCGATATGCAGTCTCATTCTTCTTACCTGCTGAGCATTACAACACACAGTTTTTTTCCCTTCTGCAGAGTATAAGGCTCAAGGCTTTTTAAGGAAGCAGACATATTAAATTATTTTTGCTTTGGTATGAGAAAAATATATTTGGGTTGTTAGATTGATTCACTTCTAAAAAATGTTCAGCCCATATGATATTTACTGTTTAATCAAGCTTTATTTGCAGGATACACTAGGAATTTCTGCTTGAGATAAAATAAGCCGCAGCCCTTGTTTCTTATTATGCAACCTACCCCCGAGCTATTCAGCTGTCTCCCCTAATATCAGCAATGTGTGAAGAAACCTCAGAAGATGCACTTATCCCCCACCCCTCAAGGCCTGTCGGCAAGTTAAAGCCACTGTGTGAAGAGCTTTACTTCTCAGTTWAGTTGCAGTGGTTAATCCCACACGTACGGGCTCAGCTTTTGTTGATTTGGTTTTAAAATTTGGTAATGGGATTTATTGACACGCATTCCCAGGTGGAAGGCAGAAGCACTTGCTTGTTTTTGTTTCGGCTGGGTATCGATTCAAATTTCCCGATACGATTCACGATTCAGTTTGATTGATTTTTAAATTAGTTAAGGATATCTTGCAGTAACACATTTATTTTGATATGTAAGACATTCTCAAAGGAAATAATTCTGCAAATAGAAACTAATTCTAACTTGGTGCATTGGTAAAATTATAAACATAATTTTACGTTTAAACTTGTAAATTGGAGTTTAATCTTGAAACAAAACTGTCTCAAGTTGCAAAGGTTTAAACTAAAAAGGAATTGACCAAGAAAGTGTTGTTGGATACACTAGTTTTAGAAACTAAGAATGATTTTCTTGATCATTAAGAAGTGATGAAATAAGGTTACAGGAGAGGAGGTGGGATAATATAAGTGTACTTCTGCCCACTCTTTTGAATGTGTGAAAATTGTATATTTGTAATGTTTCTGTTATCTTCTGTGCAATAAAACTTATTAACAAGAAGGAAGAAAGAAAAAAAGTACTTCAGCTAAAACATTCCATCACTTTGTACATTGATAATTATTACATTGAGATATTTCTAAAATTTATAAATAATATTGGTAAAAAAATAAATGATTTTGTTAGATTTTGTCATCTTTCACACATTTCTACAGGCTGAGGAGAACAGTTTCAGTCAGATGTTTACATACCGTAGTTTTGGTCCGACCATCAGAACCAGCCACTCGAAGCTTCGTTTCCCGCTAACGCGTCTGAGTGCAAATCTTTGTAAACAAAAGCTGTCATGGCCTCTGTTATCTTTAAGTTCTGCTGAGAGTCAGCTGTAATGTTAGTGGTTCCTTAGTTTCTTTTGTTTTGCCCCAGACAACTTGTTGTCGGGAGCTAACGTTAGCGCTGACCGTCAACTGGATGTAAACCTACGGCAAGCCAGGAGTGACACACAACATGGAAACGCACAGCTTCATCGCACACAACACCCATGGGGAAGAATTGATCTCATACCTTACGATAATCGATTTTCCCAAATTTGAACGAAAATCGATCCAGATCGATTAAATCGATATTTTAAACCCAGTTAAGTAAGTTTAGAATGGGCCGATGCAGGTTATTTAAACCTCACAGGTCATTCTGAAGTACCTAAGCACCCCTACTCCTTCATCCAAACACGCAAACAGTGGTCCGTTGTAAACACCAGCTTGAAAGAAAGTCTCCACCTGTTATAATAACAAAGTGATGAGTTCATTCCCAGAGGTCAGCACAATGCATACTTTGTACACAGAATGGTTAGACAAGCCCTCCTGCCTTTCTTTCTTTATTTCTTTTAGTTTTGTTCTGTATTCACAAAAAGGGCTGACAAATTGTCTTGTCCTATTTTAGTATCATTAACGTTGAAATAAAACAGGCGTTCCTTTAGAAACTAGTCTGTTTTTTTTTTGTGTCAGTGCACGCATGTTTGTCTAAAAATGGCTGATGCTTGTTTACCCTTTCGTTTCAATCATTCCAGCTGACAACACTTCGAGGATCTATACTAGAGGATGCAGTGCCCTCGACCTCTAAGCATGGCACCACCCGAGGGCTGCCCGTCAAAGATGTACTGGAGTACCTTCTACCAGAATTAGATCTGTCTTGCCTCAGGCTGGCCCTCAACACTCCCAAAGTAACCGAGCAGCTGATGAAACTGGATGAACAAGGGGTAAGGGAATAACACACAGGAACTTTGTGTCTTCCATTAAGCTGCTCCTTTCTGAAGAGCTCTTATCGTAAAGCAACTTTGTCTGATGTCCAGCTGAGTTTTCAGGTGAAGGTGGGCGTGATGTACTGCAGAGCGGGGCAAAGCACAGAGGAGGAAATGTACAACAACGAGACGGCCGGCCCCGCCCTGGAGGAGTTCCTCCACCTGCTGGGGGAGAAGGTCCGCCTCAAGGGTTTCACCAAGTACAGAGCTCAACTGGACACCAAAAGTAACAACTCCCAGATACACTCATGAATTAATAATGCACACACTGAAACCTCACAGTTTGCACTTTAGTTTTAGCTGTGAAAGTAATGACTGCAAAACCACAATCAGGATTTCCTTTAGTTCACATTACATTTCATAGTCTTTACTTTGTTTCTTCTGTAGTGTCAAACAACAGCAAACTTGGTTCCACCTACAGGAAACATGAATTAAATATTTGTGTTCGATATGAACAATCATTCTAATCAGTTGACATAATGCCACAGTTTACTATTGTCTTGGTAAAAAATGCATCCTGTTGTGCACAGAAAGCAGAGTTGAAATGAATAGGTGTAATTTTATAATGGCTCTTAATGTTGCATTGCCGTTTTTCCTGCAGCGGATTCCACGGGCACTCACTCCCTGTACACTTCCTACAAGGACTATGAAATCATGTTTCATGTCTCGACAATGCTGCCTTACACGCCCAACAACAAGCAACAGGTAAACACAGAAAACACAGCTTTTGTGGTATAATGTCAGAAAAAAAAAGAGAAGTGAAAATTTCTCTGTTTGGAAATGTACATAAAATAAACCTCAGGAATGTGAGATCACTTACAGCCATGGAATCAGATTCTAATCCATGTTTAATTTAACTTCTTTTTTTTTTCAGTATCTAATAAAACACAATGCACCAAATGCTTGTTTGGACACCTAAAGTTAATGCTTCTCTCCATAAATACTGTTTTCCAGTTGCTGAGGAAGCGCCACATTGGGAACGACATTGTGACCATTGTATTCCAGGAACCAGGAGCACACCCCTTCACACCCAGGACCATTCGCTCTCACTTTCAGCACGTTTTCATCATTGTACGAGTGCACAACCCCTGTTCTGACAGCACATGCTACAGGTGAGTCGATGTCAGGCGGACTGAAACGACCACAAGAGAACAAAATGTAATCATGACCTAATGAGCAACTCACTGGGCAGGGAGAAACTTCCACATGTAAAGCCTTGTTGCAGTTTTAACAAGGCCAGCTTGACCAAACTCATACGTGACCTATCTCTGTGCAGGACCAGACCCTTAAAAGCTGCACGCTGCATTAGGAATAGTCATGTTTTTATGCAGGTAGCTGCAGTAGCATTAGGGTGAAAGCACTGGAAGGCACTGGTCAAACATAAAAGGATTTTGCATYACCGTTGTCCCATTTTCTTGGACTGTTTAAACTATGCGCATGTGCACAAGTATACATTTGTTGGATTCTGAGCTGTCGCATCGGTGCTTGCTCACCTCTACTGGTTTATTCTCAGCCTGGTGATGATTACCGCTCATTCAAAGCCRCCCCACCGCACGCACACAGATATTATGCACACATAGTTGCTCTTTGTCACTCCCGTACTCCCATTTCACCTCATTCTCATGCTCACTTGCACACGCTGCACACAGTTGCACACTTTCCYCGCTCATACGCGCGCTCACTTGAAGATTCACTCTTCACACACCCGTACAATACGACCCCCTCCTCCTCCGCCCCTTCATCACTGCCACTTTGCCTCTGGGCAGCATGAGTCGGAGTGAGTCGGAAGGAGTTAGCGCCACGCACACGAAGTGCTCTCTTCTCTCGCTCTTGGATGTGAGCGAGGAGGACTGTGCAGAGAGCAGTGTTTGTCAGATCTCCCAGAGTCCACCTCAGGTGCGGACAGGTCGGTCCAGCCTCCGTCTCTCACACCATCGACATTTTTCGGCTTTTATTCCCGATCAGCAAYTTTATCCCATCAGCCAGCAAAGACTTCCATCAAGATTTCASCTCGTYTTAAGGGGTCATCTTTTGGTTTGTAGTGTAGAAAAGGGAAAAGTTGGGAGTGCTTGTTTACCTTACTGATAAAATATAAACAGGCAAGTAGAGGCTGCAGCTACTCCATCTAAAGTCACTTAGACTCTCAGTCTCTGGCTTCGACTTGTTTTCTGTGGATTGATTGGATCTGTTGAGACTTCAGTTTGTGGAAAGTTTTTTTCCCTGCAGATTTCCTGATAGTGTACAGAGGAACCCCGGTTCATTCAAAATAACTTAATCGCAAAGCTTTCTTGCAACTTGCTGAACTGTGTGTTTTGAGAGGAGAACTGAGTTAGCATTGACTCGGCTTAACATTTCACTGACTGCACAAGAAGTTTGGAATATTTTGCTGCAACAGTCTGAGGAGGATGGTAGCTTTTTGCTGAAGTAAGAGGTAAGTTGATGTTTACGTTGATTTTAGCATGAACTGGTTAAAATCATGCAGAAAACTGTATGCTGCTACTGATTTTACACTGAGTGCAGATCAGCTCATCACTAGTTGCAAATTTGCAAAAGCAATCACTCTACATCCAGATCAGATGTGCATTCTTTCTTTTTCTGTGGGGAAARCTATTGATTCGTTCCCTCAATGTTTTGATGCACAAACACATCAATAACGCAATGAGTTTTTCTAATCTCTATTAAAAAAAGAGTATGTTATGGTTTGTAGAATCRTCTGGTTATTATTAGTCTGTTGAGATCAGAGTAATGCGCTGGTCATATCGAGGCAGTCCGGMGCATTAGAGGAGTAAATGGCCTGGAGCCAGCTGGGTGCTAATCCACTGGATTCAGCACGGCGRATTGCATAACTACATCATTGTTTGGGAGATGTGGGTTATTTGTGCTCGCYAACTTCAACTGCAGCACTTCTCTCCTTACCATGATGTAGAGGAGTAAGCAGGACGATGGAGCCGGGAGCTGTCATCTGAGATCGAATGCATTCACATGTCGGCACTAGTCAGGGACGGGGTGCAGTCTATGTGCTGCAGGAAATGACAGTGTGATCTGTTTAATGGGGTTGATGGAGACTTGTAGGAAGTAAGCAGAGTTCCTGTGGAACTAAAGCCCRTTTTTGTTGACTCTGAGCCAWTTTACTTATRAACAACAAGTATTAGGGAAGGTTGCAAAAACACCTGCTTACTAATTTATAGTAACTCAACTCTACTGTGTGGAAATGAAATTGGAGCAGTGGAAGGTAACAAGAGGAAAGCTTTGTCTGTGGAGGTTTTAACGCCCTTCTTTGTACCTACAGTCCAAATGGGTCAAAGGCAACAAAACCTTTAGGACACATGTCCTCACTGTGCTTTTATCACAAAACAGTGGAAAATTTCTTTCCACTTAAACTGTTTTATCCCAATTTTGAGCACATACAAATACAATATGTAAAAAAAAAAGTGCTTTTTGGATCATTCTTTATTATTATTATTATTATTATTATTGTTATTGTCATTGTTATTATCATTGTTATTATCGTTATTATATCGTTATTATAATTGTTATTATCATTGTTATTATTATTATTATTATTATTGTTATTATCATTGTTATTATCATTATTATTATTATTGTTATTATCATTGTTATTAGTATTGTTATTATCATTGTTGTTATTATTATTATTATTATTATTATTATTATTATTATTATTATTTTATTTGAGTCGAGCAACAATTTCACTCTCATCTCTTTTTCTACCTGCAGTGTGGCCGTCACTCGTTCCCAGGACGTCCCCTCCTTCGGCCCACCAATCCCCAAAGGCGTAACCTTCCCGAAGTCATCCGTCTTCCGGGACTTCCTGTTGGCCAAAGTCATCAACGCCGAGAACGCCGCCCACAAGTCGGAAAAGTTTGGCGCCATGGCAACACGCACACGACAGGAGTACTTGCGGGACTTAGCCGAACGTCACGTGACCAGCACGCCCGTGGAGTCGGCGGGGAAGTTCCCTTTCATCTCTCTGGCTCACAAGAGGAGAGAGAAGATGCGTCCGTACAGCGGGGCGGAGCTGCGGAGTCTGGGCGCCATAACCTGGCAGGTTCACGCTGAAGACCAGGTGGCAGGGGCGGAACGCGAGTGCCTGCTGGCCATTTCTAATGACTTCATCATCCTGCTGGATCAAGAGGCCAAAGCAGTTGTGTTTAACTGTGCCACGCGTGATGTGATTGGCTGGTCGACGGGAAGTCCCGCCTCCATGAAGGTCTACTATGAGCGTGGGGAGAGCGTGTCGCTTCGCTCCATCAATAACAATACAGAAGACTTTGGCGAGGTTGTGAAGAGACTGGAGGTGGGTGTGTTACGGGATTTGAAAACCTTAGCAGAGTCTTCTTGACTTGGTCCATAAATAAAACATCACTGTGTTTATATGCATTTTATATGCAGGGTCCCCACGGGTTCTTAAAATCCTTGAAAGTTTGTGAATTTGAAAAATTATTTTAAGGCCCTGGAAAGTTGGTGAAAACAGCCAAAAATTACACTTTTCCTTGAAAGTCCTTGAATGTTTTTTGGGGATTGAAATTCTTTCTTCACAGAAAGGATTTTCATCATCTGTAAAAATAATTATAATAATAAAATAAAATAATTACATTTATTGCAGTGGATAACTCAGGATTAGAGTAAACTGATGTGGTTTTCAACAAATAACGTGAGCCGTAGTTATGGTTTTACCGAATCAGAGCAGAGTAGGGCAGCAGGTCTTTCTTTCTGAGCCCAGGTGAGAGCACCACAGCTCCTCCTGTCCTCACTGAGCGTCTGGACATGTTCACATCCCCTCCTCCCAAACTGAGCTGCCGAACCTCCCAGGACATAATTACATGTCCATRTATTGTGGATATGAATGTAAGGTGTACATTTACTCCACTTTATTYCATTGATTCTGACTCATTTCTGATGTTRAATTTGAGGAAATTGGTACWGRAAAGTCCTTGAAAGGTCCTTGAATTTGATKTTGACCAMGGTGTGGGAACCCTGTRTRTGTATCCTATACCAATWAYTGTAGTTAAAATTAAACTTTGACTATATCAGAGAAGGAAAGGAACAGAAAAGATAAAAGTAGTTTTTTTCCTATTTCCTCCATTGCTTCTCTTCCGTTGTACTAACTGTAACCTCTTTTTCTCTTCTGTTCTGTAGCTGTTGACCAAAGGTAGTCAAACCACAGAGATGACGTTGCGTCGTAATGCCTTGGGACAGCTGGGCTTTCATGTGAACTTTGAGGGCATTGTAGCTGAAGTGGAGCCCTATGGTTATGCCTGGCAGGCCGGGCTGAGGCAAGGCAGYCGTCTGGTGGAGATCTGCAAAGTGTCAGTGGCCTCGCTGTCTCACGAGCAGATGATTGACCTGCTTAGGACCTCCGTCACCGTCAAAGTCGTCATCATTCCTCCCCATGAAGACTCCACCCCACGCAGGTAAAGTTGTCACAGAAGACACAAGTTTCAGTAAGACGGAGACGTAAACTACTCAGAAATGGTAAATGCCTTTTTTTTTGGTCCCAACAGAGGCTGCTCAGAAATCTACCACATGCCACTTGTAGACTACAAAAACCACAAAGAGGGCATGCCCTATGAGTTAAAGTTTCCCTTCCGGCCGACAAACAACAACAACAAATGGCCGCGCTCCTCATCCAGTCCTCAGACCCGAGCGGCCGGAACGGGAGGAACCTTAATCAAGGCGCCGCCGTCAGACTTCAGCGACCGCAACTCTGCTGCCATTCCCCGCAGCGTGTCGAGTGACGGTCGGCCACTCAACCCAAAAAGGTCACACGAAAAAAAAAATGTATTGCTGTTGCACGATGTGCAGAAACACTAAATCAAATGTCTGCTCGCAGCTGTAATGTTATACGTGTGCACTCTTACAGATATTCCCCAGGGAACGACAACTATGCGCTCGCCTGTTCCATTGTGATGGGCCGCACACTGCACAACACAAACTCACCCTCCGGCCTCGCCTACACGGAGACGAGCTCCGGCCACTGGAGGCAGAAGGCTGCACCTGATGGGTAAGTTGACAAGATATTTACTTTTTTTTAAATTTATTATTATTATTATTATTATTGTTATTTTAGTTTTAGACAAAAAGAAAAAAAAGATATTCACATTTCAGTGCGTTATGCTACATGGAAACTTCTGTAAGCAACCCTCTTGTGTTCCGGCGCAGGTTTAATAACAACGGCCAGTCGCCGGTCACGTCTGTGCAGCAGGCAGCTGRTGAGGTGGTGAATGGGATGAAGGTGGGTTCTGGTGTAGGATGGTCTCGAAGTGGGGAGGGAGACTCCACCAGTAGAGCAGGGGACAAAACCAGCTCAGGTAAGCAAAATACTACAAGCATAAAAATTAATAAAACGCACACTTTCCRTGTTTAAGTTGCCTCCTAACGTAGATGCTGCTGTTTCCAAAGCGGTGATTCCCCGCCTCCAGCCAGCCGATCCGAACAGCCGCCTCTCTCCTAACAAGAAGGTGCGCAACAAGAAACAAGAAACCAGCMGAGCTCAAAAGAGACACTTGACGTTCATCATGTGTTTCATTCATCTGCAGGCGGATGCTCCGTATTCCTCCAGCCAGTCGAGCAGCAACACTCTGTCCAGCAACGCCTCCAGTTCTGCGCACAGCGACGAAAAGTGGTACGAGGTCGGCTCCCGTTCAGGAGCACGGAGCGACCTGGAGCTCAACGGCTACCTCCAGGGCACCTCTACCGACAGCGGCATCGACGCCACCTCCTTCACCGCCACGCAGAGCAGCACAGCGTCCTCCACTGGTGCTTTCAGATCCAAGGAAAAAATTGCGTGGCAGGAGGACCTAGCATGCAGCCAGAGAGCCACTAGTGCATCACCTCCAACATCAGACTCCCTTGGCGTGGCGGGGGGCTGTGAGACTGCGACAAAGAGTCCATCTGCTTCTGCATCAGCTCCTGAAACTGGCTCCTACAGCCTGAGTGACTCCAGGTGTGTGTGTGTGTGTGTGTGTGTKTTTTTTAGTGATAAGTTGTTCTCCAACTTCAGTTCTTCAATAAAAATAAACTGATTCATTGTATATCCTATACAGTCCTCAATCTAGAGCTCTGGATTGGCTTTAACAAGGAGAGACAGGATGAATGAAATATCTGTGAGACTGGTTTTATATTCAAGTGTGTTTTCATCTTACAGTATCCATGATTGAAAGGAAAGSCTTCAAAGAAATACAGACTGTGAGCTCAGCACTCCTCCCCCTCTTCTAAAKCCCATTCCTTTTGAGTCAAATAAAGCCTTCCTTCCTCTCTTCTTCGCTCAGGCAGAAATAACTCAGCTCCAACAGACTTTCCACAGACAGCTTTGTTTTATATATAGTGTTTGTGCACAAAAATGCTTACGTATAAAACTTTCTTTAAAAAAACATATTATTTTATGTTATGCAATGTAAAAACTATGCAGGGGGATTGAAAATTACACGCAAGAAGAGCGCTGTCCTAGTTTCTATTTTGGATTTAATCGATTTTTGTTCATAGATGATGCAGTGATGAAACAAGCAGGCTAAAGGCTTTTCGTTGTCTTTATGTTTGATTTATTGTTTTATGCAGAAAAAATAAAATATATCTCTTTTTTTTCTTTTTACCTAATTCTGTGTTTTACTTTTATGTCCTGTTTCCAGTACGATCAGCTTTGGTCACTCTGGCAGTCCGATGGGACAGAGCTGCGGCGCCGTATCGCCACAGAACGAAACAGCCGCTACGAACATCTCGCCCACATCCTTGTCTCCTGGGAACAAAAGCTTCTATCCGCGTCAAGGAGCAACCTCCAAGTACCTTATTGGCTGGAAGAAGCCCGGGGGATCTGTCAACTCTGTGGACTTCACCAGCACTCGCAAGTAAGACAGGAGTTTACCTGTAGATCTGTGAACGCAGCACAGTATGTTGTGGAAAATTACTAACATTAAATCTAAAAAAATCTGTTTAGTTTTAGCTGTTCTGAGACTGAGGAGCTGGTTAACAGTGCCCCCATGTGGCTGGATTTATTTTTTATTGTTCGGTTTACATGAACAAATTTAATATTTATTTTAATTAATGGAGGCTTCAGATGTTTTTGATTTTGGCTTAAAGGATGCCATCAAGCCTACTCATTTTCATTTATTCAGAGTTATTTTGGTACAGGAGGCTTCTGATTAAACTGGGATTTGTTTCTGTCTCCAGAAGGCACCAGAGTGATGGCCTGCTGGGTGGACAGCCTCAGCTCAGAGCCAATCTTCGCGGTTCCCAGTCGCCGCAGCGCCAGACTGCCAAATCCAGCCTGGAAGAAGAGCTGAAGAAGCTCATCACACTTGACAGCCCACCACCTACAACAAATGAAGAGAAGGTACAGAGAAATACAGTTCACTTCTCGCTTCTGTCAGGGCAGTTGAGTCTTGTAGGAAGTTTTCAGTTACTTGTTTTCTTGTTGTCTTRTTGAGTTGTTATGATCCTTAAAGATGTCATTAGATAAACAGTCATAGAACAGCCAAATGCAAATGTTTGCAGATATTTCTAAACTAATAAAGGTAGAGAGAAACATTTAATTTGTTCACTTAAAAGCAGCACCTTGTTTTTTAAGAAAGGGGGCACAAATGTGCTGAATAGTTTAATTTACACTGCGTCAGCTCTGCTCCCCTTCGCTCTGACCTCCACAGTGAAAAAGGCAACCATTAAAATCAATGAGGGCATTTAGGGTAGCACAGGGTGGCGGCGTGGGCATGGCGAAATGCCAAAATTAGATTCAAWCCTATGTTTTGCCAGATGGCGGTGCAGATGCGGAGTCAATCTACAAATATCACACTGCACTAACAGGAAAAGGAATGARGACATTTGTATTTTCAAAATAATTCCCCCAAAGATAGACATTTTGTCAAAATCCTAGCTATATTAATAAACATATGGGGATATTTATAGAAACATGCTGTCAATATTTATCATTATGTTTGGGAAGCAGATGGCAGAATGTATACACACAAAACGTGTGGATTTTATTTTGAAATGAAGACAACAGGGCTGCAGTTGTTTTCAGTTCGTCTTCCAAAGCATGAATTTATTTGATCTGATTTCCACATTTATCACCGACTTTATTGCATGATCTCGCATTTCCTGCGCATGTTTCTCGGAGCGCCTCTGCGCTTCGCACCGGACCGGAGCCACATGCAGTGTAACTCCAGGGTTAGACATGAAGCAGCAACAGTTTCATTGCTATATTAAAGTTGATCCACTATAATTCATCTGTATTTGTCAACATGTGTGCTGTGAAAAAGGTCCAGTGAAAATACATCTTAAAGGGGTCTTATATATTATCCAAGCACCTTGTTTAATTCTATACTACAATGAAGTAACTATGTTACCTTTTTTTTTTTTTCTTCAGCCAAGTTATGAAAATGCTGTAGACCTAATTATTAGGGGTGCAACAATACATGCACCCGTTTCGAACCGTATCAAACAGTGCTTTTGGTTCAATACACACTTGTATCGAACAATACAGATTTTTAAAATTTACTTTATCAGCTTGTCTTCTGAAGATGCTCTGTGTTGAAGGATCAGTGGATCTGTGTTTGGCTACTCCACCTAGGCTGCGTTTTTGTGCGCAGATCCACGGAGAAACTTGCTGTTTCAGCAACATTTAATTTAAAAACTGTACTTTTGAGGTTAAACAAATGTTCATACTTAATTTAAATAAATTACAAGTTAAAAGGGGCATGGAAATTTCTCTTTTTGTATCGAAAAATATCGAACCGTGAGACTAAAGTATCGAACCGAACCGAATCGTGAATTTTCTGTATCGTTGCACCCCTGCTAATTATATATCAAAAATAAATTTGATCTAAACACCTTTAAATTGGCCTCTGTCTCTTTAAGAACCCCCTACCGTTTCTGACACTTCCATTTCAGCAGGTCTTCACAACAATGCTTTCAGGTAAGAGGTGCTCCGTAGGGTGGTGCTCGGCCACAAACTGAGTCCTAGGGAGGAGCTTTGTGTAAATAGGTGGAGCTTTGTGCCAGCAAGCGTGTTTAGGCAGCTCCACATGGCTACCAGAGGAGATTCAAGGACTTATTAAACCTGCATGAATGAGTCAAAGCAACAATTTGGGCATGTTTTTGTTGAGGGAACATTATAACATGATATAAAGCTCAAAAAAGTCATAATACCCCCCATTTAAAGTGAAGTTATACAAGGAGAATATAAACAAATGATTTTCTTGTTTGATGTTGTTTTGTCATAATTGATGAGGTAATGACTAGTCCAAGTGACATCCAGACTAAGCAGCATTTTATTATAAATAAATGTATATGGATATTAATAAAAGTGTCTATAAAATCAATATTTTATCTGTGTGTGAATATGTCACAGACCGTTTTGTGTTTACAGGAAATGATTTGTCCAGTTGAGCAAGATTTGCTGTAATTTGTTGTTCCTCATCAGAGTCCTGCAGTTCCTTATCTTCTGTTTCAATTGTCCCCTGAAGCCACTGTTTCCGGGCCCGCCACCAAGTCGTCGCTCCCTCCAGAGGACGCTGTCGGACGAGAGTATCTACAGCGGGCAGAGGGAGTCATCCACCGGTGGGCAGCGTGACTCATCCGGCGACCTTCTGTTCACCTGCTCAACCATACCCCGCTCACCCRTCACTCGGCATGGGCCGAAACGCCGTGCCTCACACAAATCCCTCGGTGAGTTTTAGGCTTCGTTTTACCGSAGGTGTGTCTGCAGATAATGAAKGCAACTACATCTTGTCTCAATTTAAAAYGTGTTGAGCTTTTACCTGTAAGATGTTTGTTTCGTGCGATAGCAGAGTGGAGAGTATTTTATCCTGCTGCTTCATCCATTCAGGAGACCTGTCAGCTCCAGAGATCTCAGAGCGGGAGAACGAGAAGAACCAGCAGGACCCTGCCCTCATGCCCCTGCCTGACACTGGAGCTGATGGCCCACTTGATTGGGCCCACTTGGTGGATGCTGCCAAGGCGTTTGAGGGTAAATTAAACTAAACTGAATAAACCTGACTGTCTTTATCACAGCAGTAATGAAAACCCAACTGTCATCTTTACTGTCACCAGAAGAGGGCACCGTTACTCTAAACATGTTCTCTCTTCAAGTTTGATAATGCCTCTTTTTGTGTGTGTTTTAGAGCAGAGACTGGTTTTCCTAGCCGCCCAGGAGGAAAACGCCACAGCTGAGGACGCAGCAGCTTCCAGCCCCCAACAAGCCGAACCKCAGGCGGCTCCACAGAGACAGCCCTCGCCAGGGTAAGAGCTTTCAGGTCACTGCTGTGAACTGATGTTTGAGTGTGGAAAACTCTGCACACTTTGCAGCTAATATTAGTTAGTTTTCCTTTCTGGTTGACTGCACTTATCTGTCAAATCAGCTGTTATGGTGCTGTTATTATTTTACTCTTTGTCCCTTTTCACAGAGAAACTCCGGCTTGTTTAATGGGTAAGGTGAGCCAGCTGGAGTCCATGGTGAAGACACTACAGGAGGACCTGAAGAAGGTGAGTTTTAGTTAGTTTGACTCTTCTTTGGAAGAGGAAAACAGTGAACAAGAAACAAATGTCTTCTGTCATCATCAGGAGAAGGATGCCAAAGCGTCGTTACAGGCGCAGGTTGAAAGCCTGCGAGAAGACAACCAGCGCCTSTTGGAGGAGTCCTACAGCGCCTCGGCCAAGCTCAAGAAGTTCACAGAGTGGGTCTTCAACACCATCGACATGAACTGATGCACACAAAGGTCTCCTGCTCTCCACTGGGAATTGAACCACTGCTCAAGCTGATTTCAAACGTTCAACGCTATTAATAGAACTCATTAACTTAGAAAATCGTCCYTCTTTGGCTCCTGCACATCAGAACTTGGGCTGTTTTACATTCCAGCCTTGTTGAGCTTTGAGGCTCTGTAAGATAACYACCACACAAGAATGATTTTATACAAAAGAGGAAAGAAGCAGTCGGGTAACCGTGTGTCAGGATTTATGCGCATGCACTCCTTTCTTTAGGAGTACATAAATTACGTAATCCTTTGTTTCTAATCTTAATTAACCGTTGGTAGCTGTGCATGGCAAAGAGCAAGATGCAGAAATGTAAAGGGAATTAAAGTTGCTGTTCTTATGTAGGTTTTTAGCTAACCTTATAAAGAGTGAACAGGTTTAAAGTTATTAAGCTCAAATCAAAGACAAACGCTTGATCCCTGCAAGAGATGATCATAAAAAGTCCCATGTAGCTCCGTTCATACTTAAATAAATGTGTTGTAAATTTGTTCATATTTAGATATTCTTTATTTTACTCAACTCCCAATTATTTTTGTATCACTCACCCAAAAAAAAGAAAGGCACATGTCATTTTTTTTCTAGCAGGGAGACACAGAGTCTTTGCACAGCACAAACTGAGCTCACTATAAGGAGACGCGCCTGTCAGGATGGAAATGATACACAGGTTTATCTAAAGATGCTGAAACTCGTAAAGGACTACTGGTCACAAGAAATGAATATGTATTGTGCCATAAAAACACACACACATTCAATCCAGATTATTGTAAATATGCGATGCTAAAGTGTATTTTTCTCCCTTCTGTGATATGATAATATAAAGAGTATTTATGACAAAAATAATGGCCAAAAAAAGGAGCCATATGCAGTAAGATGTTTGTGCCTATAATGGGCAGTTTCTTAAGAGAAAATGGACATCATTTGATGGCTAACAACTAACCCAAATTAATATTTTTGTTTATTTTCTACATTTTTTTATGTTTAAGACTTTGCCTTGCCTGCTGCCATGGATTAATTGATAGTGACACTGAGTGTTGATCATTTTTCCCATCCACAGCATGTAAAGTAGCTTCAGTCGGATCCTTTTTTATTTTTCCTCTGAGTCACTTAAACCGGTACTGTTCAGTATATAAATATATAGAAACTACTGTGTAAATCCCCAAATTCCAGCTGCAGGTTTCTGTACTGTACAAATCTGCTCGAAAGCCCAACATAAATCTGGTCCGCGTAAGACCGAACCAAGTCCTCACTTAAGCCTCGTGCTGTAACTGCTTCCTTTTGTACTCAGACACTGTGCAACTGTATATAAGGAGAATTTAATATTCATCAGAATTTGCACCTTCTGTCTTATTTTTTACATTTTATTTTTTGATGCAATTCTGCTTTTACCGGGTAGCAAAGCGCAAAAGAACTTTTATGCAAGAGTGGGGTTGTGGGGRGGGATAGGCGGAAGTAAAACCATGAGCTGGACTCAAAGAAGAGTCTCAGGTCCCCGTCCCAGCAGATCACCCCTTTGCCTTCATTCTTAACATGTGTGACAGCGTGTGATTCTGTTTTCCATTGAGCTGTGATGTGTACAAATGTTTTTATCTATTAAAGATATTTTGTTGAATTACATTTCGTTCAGATGCGGGCTCTTTTGTTGTGCTGCAAATATGTGTGGATTTTGACACAAAGATTTTTACATGAGATACCGTGCTTAAATTTATATTTTTTTCACATTTCAGTCCTTCAGTAAAAAGTGGAACGGCAATGATTTCGTCTGAATTCCTCTGTTGTAACTCCACAAGCCCCTCTCTAGTTTGATTGAGGGGCTTACGACTATAGCGACACAATTTTATTCTTTTAAACAAATGAATTAAAAGATGTCAACAATGGAAGACTTGTCCATCCAGCCTTACATGTTGGAGCCAGAGTCTGACCCAGAGCCAGAGGAGAATGAAGACGATGAAATTGGTTGGTAAGTCCAGACCATATTTAGAAGTTTGACACAAATACTGTGATGTAGTTCAGAAAACCTCATAGAAAATAGAGAAAATTGAAAGAGTTAAAAAATATGACTCAAACGGAATCCAACGATATCTACGCAGCACAGGGAGAAACTAAACAAATTTTATGCACTCCTAGAGACTCCCAAGTACACAACAAAATGTTAACGTCTAACAGTGGACTTTGCATCGTATGTCCCCTTAAAAACTGAAAACTTAGGTGGTTTAAAAGGACAAATTGAACTAAATTCTGTGCTTGATGTAACAAATATGTCTTAGCAGGTAAACAGGTCCCTGTCAGAAGGTGTCTGACCTCTGTGATTAACATAAAGCTGCTGTCTTTCCATTTAGAATCCTTTGCACAAGTCCTTTTGTTCAGATGGACGAGCTCAGATTGTACAGATTTGAAGACAAGAATGAACCCTGAGAGAGAAGCAGCATAAAGACAGCTGATTCTAGAGCAAATAATTGATTGTTTGATTATAACTGTTTGATTAATTGCATTCATGTATTAACAGTCATTGTAAAAAAAAATAAAAAAAATTTTCTTCATTACAGGCACATGAAATGAAGAGCTGCAGCCAAAGAAGCGAACATGAGGTTACCTCACGATGACAGGACCTGCTGCAGCAGGATGTAGACCTCTGCAGAAGTTTCTCTGACGTGTCAAAGAATAATCCTCAGGTCATTCAGATGATTGGAGCTGAGTAAGAAGTTACAGCTGAAAGAAAAAAAAATGTTTCAGCTAAGTCTGACAGGAGGAAAAATGGGATTCTTGTTTCATTTAAACCTCCAGCAGACCACAAAACCATATTTATGAAATGTAAATGAACTTGCTTTGAACTCAGTGATTATTTCCATAACCACACACAACCTGTTAGCTGATTTTGCTCTAGTTAAAAATACAAATATGAACATTTACAGACACAATGCAGGGCTCTTTCCAAGGCAGAACTGATCTGGGTTCCAACACAAGAATTATTTGGGTTTGACGCATTAGAGGTGAAATCTGTCTAACTGAATTCAAATATCTGGTAAACTGACTTTGTTGATGTAAAAACTGCTGTTTTATGGTTTTCAATGAAAAACACTGGAATATAAAATTGCATCTTTGTAAGACTGCCATATTACGGAGCCCGCAAGGGGACACGGGGGGGATTTTTTTTTTCCTTTTGCATTCTCACGCAATACCTTTGCGTTCCCATGCAAAAGATTTTGTATATGAACTGAATTAAATCAGACTTTTATTTTTGAAATATCCGGTTACCAAAACAGGATGTGTCGCCACAAGTTTGTGAATTTGACATTGATGTTGCGTGACTTTACTGTGTTAAAATATCGGCATATGACATACTTCCACGCGTGGTTGTGTAATATATTCATTCTAAAGCTGAATTAAAGCAGTAGGCTAACTCGCTACTGGTGAACATGTGAGTTTGTTAATAAACCGGCAGGCACAACAATGATAACCTACTTTTGTGAGGTAACGCGAAAGTATTGCGAGGGAACGCAATACTTTCGCGTGGGAACGCAAAAGAAAAAAAATCTCCCATGTCCCCTCGTGGGCTCCGTACCATGTAATTTGGACTTTTCCATCTTTTCCATCATGTTTTTATTTCAGCATCTCATCAAAAACAGCACCAGTGGTGGAGAAAGTACTCAAACACTGTACTTAAGTAAAAGTACAAATAAACAGACAAAAATGTACTCTAGTAAAAGTAAAAATACCACATCAACATTTTTACTTGAGTAAAAGTAAGTAAGTACTTGCTTTTGAAAACACTTAAGTATTAAAATTAAAAGTACTTGCTTAATGTATTCCCCAATGGTCTACAATATTATGAAGTGTGTCTGTGTATATTTTAAATACATCAATGGTGTGTGATTTTAGTGAACAATGCTGCAGTTTGTGTTGACCCTCTGTGACACTGTTCACACTTGGTGTGATTCTGTGCAGCATCACAGATTGTGACAGCTACAGAAGCTGTAAATTTGCCACCGTCGTCCTTTATCAAATCTCAACAAGTCGTTTGTTGAACCAGTTAACTTGAATAAATAAAGCCATGAGTGGCACACTTCCTCCTTTATGGAATCCATTGTGGGCCTGCTGCTGCTGCTGCTCCAGGTGATGCTGCTGCTGCTGCTGCTGCTGATGCTCCAGGTGATGCTGATGCTGCTGCTGCTGCTGCTGCTGCTGCTCCAGGTGATGCAGAATCGCTTCGCCTTTTTTTTCTTTTTGAAGGAGGGTCTAATGGTACTTTCCTGCTTTGCATTGCTTCAATGGACCAATTACAGAAATTCACCTCTCGCCACTGATTACTTTCAAACTAAACAAACGAACAAGGAAAAAAAAGAAGCAATGCGACGTGACATGAATGTAATTTGTAATTCAACRCATTACAGAAATGTAGTGGAGTAGAAAGTACAGATACTTAATGTAAAATGTAGTAGAGTAGAAAGTACAGATACTTAATGTAAAATGTAGTGGAGTAAAAGTAAAAAGTACCCATGATGAAATCTACTTAAGTAATGTACAGATACATGAAAAATGTACTTAAGTACAGCAACAAAGTACTTGTACTTAGTTACATCCCACTACTGAACAGCACGTCATGTTGTAGTTGATGTTATGCACTGGTGTTATTATGAGCATGCTGTTCAATAATTGAGCGTTAATACAAATTATAACGGGGCGTTCCCCCATCAAAGCAGATTAGAGAATTCCCCGTCTCCCTGCTTGTCTCTGATGGTAAGATCAGGGTGAGACGTTTGTGTAATTTCGGTAAATTTACACTACAGATATAAAGGTGGATAATGCAGGAAGTTGTGAAGATGTGCCTGCAACAAGGTGGTTTGTGGCAMAAATGCTTAGGTCCATTCACAGGCATGCCACACATGTGACCTGTCATCCATGGTAACCAAATATATAGAGAACAGCAGTTTTGTTCTTTTTCTTTTCTTTTCTTACCCCAAGGAAACATTGAAAACAAAATCYTACCTTTTAATAATGAGAAGTGAGCTTTTTCTGTGTTGGGTTTGATTAAAGCTACGCGTATACGCAGACCTTATAAGGTCTTTCCTGTGTGTGAGGATTTGAAAAGTGTCAAATATTTTCAAAAGCAGGAAACAGAAGACTTCATAGAGCCAGGGCTTCTGCTTTGAAAAGAGAAACAACCGTAAAGAGAAGCTGGTTTTCTGATAACTCAYAAATGTGTGTATGTGTGTGTTTGTGTGCATGTGTGCATGTTTTCTGCATGCATGCATTCACAAATTAGCCATGCCATGTATTTCTGACATTTCTTCCTAGAGGGCTTTTTCAATCTTGTTTACTTCAAGAAGGAAAAAAAACAATTAATTTGTTGCGATTGTTTTTTAAGCTTGAATAATTCCAGAGTTTTCAATGCAATGCTTGAAAAACTTTGGACAGAAAAACAAAACTTTTCATCAATCACGTGCAAAGATGCGATTTATTCCATATAACTTGGGCAAATTTCAAACTTTTTATTTTTTCATTTTTTTATCCAATGTAGCTCTTAAGCAAAACAGTGGCACGTACAAACCCCCTTCCAAAATAGTTGGGTAATTTTTTATATTTTGGTAGCAACGTATCTCTTAAAAGTTGGGGTATGGGCTGTTGGGATTGTTCTGCATTGATGATGCCTTTCCAGATGTGTCAGATGCCCAGTCATTCATTCTTAATGCACCCCTATACTATCAGAGAGGCAGGCCTTTGAACTATGAGCTGATTACAGGCTGGCTTTACAGAATCAGAATCGGTTTTATTGCCATTGTCATTGAACAGGATTCACAGACTAGGAATTTGCTTCGGTGTAAAGGTGCAATAAGTATAAAATAAAACAAATAAAGAAAATACAAAAGATAAAGGAAAAATGTAATAAAATATATAAAACATATGTACACCAGTCCAATATTTCGTACAGTAAATAATTACTACTAATTACAATAATTAGTACAAAGGATGTAGCTGTCACGATTTGGAGTGTTGTAAAATGGATCATACTTTTTTCTGAGATAACTCAAAATTACCTTTTATTTTCCTTTCAGATACTTGTAAAATATTTTGTTTTAAACATACAAGTACTGTGTTCCATTTTACATAAAACATGGGTTTATGAGATTTGCAAATTATTGTAAACAACAATCCCAACAATGTAAAAAATGGCAGGTTGGCGTTCCTGGATTGCGATGTCTCGGTTTCAGATGGAGGACGGTTGGAAACTGGCGTAT